GAAGAAATAATTTTTTTCTTATGATTTTATTATTTTTCTTCTTCTTATCTTTTTTATTATGTTATTTTCTTCTAAATGCAGAAGCATATACTACTTCTATCTTCCTAAATAAAAAATTAATATACCATATACATATACATAATATATACTTATATACTAAACATAATACAATGATAATTACCAAGAATTGTTATCCTTATATATCATCATCTTAGCAATTTTAACTATAATGAAAGTTAATTAAGTTGTTGTATTTATTTCTGGGGTTTTAGTATCTCTATTATAATAATATATTCGCAGTTAGAGAAAGGATCAAGAATGATGAAAATTTTCAAAGAAATTGAAAAAACTTACATATATACGTACATATTCATGTATATATATACATACATATATTAGATAGAATATTTTATTTATGATTTTGTTTTTTATTTTTGGTTTATGGATGATTAACATCGATTAAAAGGAAAGCCAAAGGCTAAATATTATACGTTTATTAAAAGTTTTATAATTTTTAAAAAAATTAATTAAATTTTTCGTTCTTTAGGCAATAGTATAATATTTGAATAATATATACAATGAAAGTTTTTATGAAAATGAAGGTTTGCCTATGTCATATATAGGAGAGAAGATGAAAATTTGTAATCTTGATCTTGTAATTTTAAAAATTTTAATTGTGTTATTCCAAGAAATTCAAATTTTTATGAAGTTAAAATGACTATTATACTCGTATAGTTACGTTATGCGTATATGTCTCGATATTTGAACTTTATAAATTTTTTAATTGAATAAATGGACTCGAACAAACAAAAAATTAATTTCAATAATTTGAAATTGATATTGGATATGTTAGAAAGCATTCTGAACAAAGTTATTTAATTTCTAATAAAAATTTTCAATACAAAAGAAAAATAAAAATGTTTTTGTCATATTCTCAGAATACATTTGATCAATGTTGTCAGTAGTAAGTGATCATCATTGGCCCAAAACAATGGCATTAAAATTTAAAGTATATAGCTCTTAATTCTAAAAATGTTTGGAAAATTTATATTTTGTTTGAAGAGCTTATATATAAGCCTTTCAAAAAAAAGAATTCCGAATTCATACTTGAACTTTATAAATTTCTGTACGGATTTGTTGAATTTAAAATTTACATTTCTAAGGCTTATTTTAATTCATTTGCACTTGTACTATTGATTTGTTACGAGTATTAAGTAACCATTTGGATCCATACAGATCAAATTAATTTTTGCATATCCTAGTTTATTTTAGTACAAATATGAAAAAGTACCTAAAATAGAAAAAAACTTTTAAATGTTAATTTGAATTTTAATATAGGAATAAATAAATCGAATTTAATCTAAACCATTTAATCGAGACAAAATTTTTAAATTTATTAAAGAATTAATTTCACATTAAAATGTTAATTATGTACAAATATATTTTTTTTATATTACAATTTTATTTTTAATCTCGGAAAATCGTTATACTTTTGTTTTTTCTCCCGATATTATAGAAAATAGAAACAATGACTAGAGAAAAATTTACATAATTTTCAAATAGAATTTTCATTTCGATAAAAATCTTATCAATAATAGAACAAAGAAAAAAAAAAAAACACAAAATGTCAACAATAAAAAATTCATTTATTATCCTTTAATTTTTCTTTTTTAGATACGATCATATATTGCAATACCATGAAAGGATATTAAATATAAAGTAAAACAAAAAAAATCAAGGCGATTCGAAAAGCAAAAAAAAAAATATAAACGAATTTTTAACTTCATAGACTAATAAATCACGTGACTTATCATGTGTAAAACGTACCTTACGGTTTATGGTTATTTTTTTACAAAAAAAAACTCATTTTTTTTGCTACCCTTCAATATGGTAACTATTAAGGATTCGATTTACTATTAGGTATATAAATGAATAAAAAAAAATTGAATTTTGCTAGTAATTTTTCTTTTTTTTACTTTTTTAATTATATAAAATCTCCATTTAGAGATTTTTTTTTTGCACAAAATATGGGGAGAAAGTTAGAGTAAAATATCCCTTGAAGCTATTTGTTAAATTACCAATTTGCAATAATTCAATTTTTTTAAACCTTTTTGATATTCTCCACTTTGATTTCTCATTTTGTTTTATTTTTTGTGAATTTTTCAAAAAAAAAGTATTTTTGGGGGAGAATTTCTGAAACGAACAAAATTCTATTTGGGCTAAAATGAAATTTTGCAATGTAATGGCAAAAAAAAAACCAAAAAACAAAAAAAAATAGTAAAAATCTTCTTTTATTTTTGTGCTTGGTAGCATTTCCATTTGGTCATGTTTATTTGTTTATTACCTATACATTTTTGGTGAAATATTTGATTCGTAACGTGCGGTTTTAGAATTCGATTCAAAAGATTTACACTTAATACAAATAAAAAGAATTTTGTTACAACGGGTGTTGTTTGGTATAGGTATTTTAAAATGAAATGTTATTGTTTTTGAATGTCCTAAAGGAATTAACAATATGAATTTTATTGATAAATTAACTCATAATAAATATATACGAAAAGAAAATTAAATTAAAATCAAATAAATTATTAAGAATTATTGTAAGGTAGGTAGTTGTATTCAATTTTATCGGAATATAGTTGTAAAGAATTGAAATTTAATTATAATTAATGAAATAAAATGAGTTTGTATATACAAGGAAATTTTATAAAATAACTTTTAAATTTCTTATTACTTTTTGCAAATAGTTGAGTTTTAAAATGTATGCTGTATATGATATGTCTAGTGTATACACTCGAACTAAAGATTATTTTATTTAGGCTTCTACATTTAATATTTTCAATACTCTTCTTCAAATAATTTGTAATATAACATTTAACACGAAAGAAGCCATTAATGGCTTTGTAAATGCCGGAAGATAAATTAAAATTTTATTCTATTATTTACAATGTTCCTAATAATGAAACTCTCGCCAAAATTCACATGAATATTTGAACTCTATCTTAGAAATTACGATATATATTCCTATTATACATATTTAGCAACTCGAATTCAATCACACTAATACTTTAGTTTTAATAATCAGCAAGAGCATATTCGAGTATTTTCAACATTCATTCACATTATTTAGAGCTAATTTAAGAAGATTTAAAAAATAAATTCCCTTTAATAAGAAAACTCTTCAAGGATATTTTATTGCATATTTACTAACAGATACATAGTTAGAATTTATGTTTGAAGAAAAGAGATCTTTTGTAAATTTACTTTAAAAATGATAGATTATTATTACTATAAGACATAGTCACGTGTTACATGAATTTATTTATCCTTTTATATCCTTCAAGAACGAAAAAAAAAACAAAAAAAAAAGACGAAACAATTTCTTTTTTTTTTCTTTCTTTTGCAATTTAAGTTTTGTCTTGCTTTTCCTGTTGATTTCCTTTTGGTTAAATATTAAGTTGCAATAAACAAAAAAGGAAAATTTCTTCTTTTGTTTCTCTATTATTTGAGATTGGGGTTTCTTTATTTTTTGATTGAATGCCAAAAGCGGAAAGTAAATTTCATTTCTTTCGTTTTTCTGTTCTTTTACTCACATCATAACTTATAAGAAATCGATAAAATTTGAAGGTGAATATATGGAAAGTACAAAGAGCAAGGAGTAGGAAGCTTGGTATAAAATTTTTGTTTCGTTTTTTTTTACTGTATTGGACATAAAAGAATATACAATCCATATAAGACAATCGTTATCCTGCGAGAAAAATAAAAAAACAGAAAAAAGGGAAAATATATGTTTGTTTATTCCTCAATCTTTCGTATTTCGATTGTAGAAAAAGCCCCAGTATGTTTAATATGAATTATTTACTGTCTTCAATTTTCACTTTTTGTTTAAATATCCTTGAAGATGTTTCATGTTTCAATTTCCTTCTTTGATGAATGAAATTTATAATAAGAGAATAGGATAGATGGATGGATGAAAGAAATTTTTATCTTATACTTTTTAAATTTATTTAGAATGAATAAATGATAACGATTGGTTATATAGAAATAGGCTTTTTTTAATATTTGCTTTGGTTTAATGGAAAAATTTTCTTGTTGGTTGTGTTCTTCCTCCGAGTGTCATGTTTAACATGATTTTCATTTATTTATTTATCTTTTGCTCGTTTGTTTCTTCTCTTGTTTTATTCTTTTATCTACAATCTAATATCCTTATAGTGCAATGTTTAATCAATTTGTCAATTTTTCTCTGGAATCTTTTGATTATTTAGTTTTATTTTTTGTTTTTCAAACATAATAAAAAAAAAGTCTCCAAGGTTTATATTATATGAGACTATAGAGGAAAATTTGGGGCGTTCGCCTTATTTTTTTTGTTGTAGAAAAAGAAAATTAATCATTCTTTTCTTTTTTTTTTAATTTTATTTTAACCATGATCTAGTTTTTGTATTGTATAATAAAATAGAAGCTTTAGAGAATAATATAGGAAGCAATTAATTGAAGTAAACAAGTAAAATTAGAAAAGATAAAAATAAAAATTGCTAAACTAGTCTTTTTTTTGTATGTGTGAATTGAAATTAATTTAATGGCTTTTCACTATACACTGTTAAGGTCTAAATATGTATACATATACAAATATGTAAATATGCATATGTAAAATATTTTCTAAAACATGCATGTACCTATGTATATACACACATGAAACATGATTTTAATCGCCTAGCGCATCACTGACGTTGTAATTTAAGTGATTAACATTAATTATCAACATTTAAATCAATTGGAATGTTGTGCTTTTATTTCCGCATTAAACCAGATTACTTTTATAAAATTTACGTCAAATATTTTGCGTATAAATCCAAAGTATCAATAACTAATAATTAACCTATCAAGTTGTGACACTAAAAATATATGTAAGTATGTATATTTGAAAAATAAGAACATACATAGGTACATGTACATAGCTACAGATACCTAATGCATGGCATAATTTATCACTTAGTACTTACATTAATTGATCCGTTAGAAATCTTCCTGGGGAAACTTGACCGCAATTCTAAAAAAAAAAATTTTAAACGTTACATAACTTCACCTCAAAAAAAATACATGTTTTCCTTGTAAATCATACTTACATATAACACAACTTATTTAAGGTTTAAAGATCTTAGTTGAATTGTACATTTTGTTTTACCAAGCTTCTCTGAAACTCCAGTTATTTTAACATTTCCTTATTTTTTATTTCAATTATTCACGCTTTTAATTTCTATTGTTCCAATTTAAATGCAGCAACCAGTTAATTTGGAACCACGCTTCTAAATTTTTTTTCTAACGGTACAATATTCTACATGTATGTACGTATTTGCTTGTTCCTCAAAATTTTTGAATTTTAAACTTTTTATTGTATAATCAAAAATATTTAAAATTTAATCACAATTTTTACTATTGGAACACTTATGAAAAATTTTAATAAATTCAATAAAATTCGATTTTTAATTTATTCAGTTGTCGATTTGATTTAAAAAAGCCAACTTTTCTATCCTATCCCTTTTAGTTCTTTTCTACTTCGAGTTCGGATTTGAACAAAATAGAGCGTTTGGCGCATAAAAACAATATGACATATGCAGGAACAGTTACTCCCAAACTTTTCATGCAACAAAAATTTAGTAAGCTGTGTTTACACGAAAAACTTTAAAATAATTGTTGACATCAACCATTGATGCAAAATTCGTCGTGTAAACACAAATAATAATAACATTTACCTTATAAACAAGTATCTTTACAAATTTTTTTAAAAAATGTTAATTCTCTTTAAGACATTTTTCTTTTTGGCAGTTTTTTAAATGCACTCTTTATTTCAATTTGTATTTAGATAATTCCATACTGAAAGATTAAAGAAAGAAGTTTTTCTTGTTTGAAAATTAAATTTAAATGTTGACTATCTGTATTATCCAATCGTGATATGATCAATTAATTATGTATATTGGTTTTATAAATATTTCAACTATATACACATATAATATGTGCATGGAAAACAAAATATTCTTAAATAATCGAATTTAATCAACTTAAACATAACACATAAGAATCATCTTTTAATAGCCTGACAGTGTTAAAGTATGTTTGAAATATAAACTAGCTAATAACCTTTAACATTCCAATAGAAAATAGCTATGTATTATGTTTATGTGTTATTATTGAATACTATGCAGATATTGTTTGTGACAAAATGTTCTTATTCTTGATTTCAAGTTATTTCCAGTTTCAATAAAGTTTTCAAAATATCCATGTAAATGCATACTGTATTCTATTCATATGTAGTGTATGAATATAACATAAGATCCAGTTTATATTCCGGAGATTAAAAATGCCAATCTCTGTCTACATTCAACATAATAATTTTTGTTTTATCTTAATTTTTAATTTTGTTTTCTTTTTTGTCGCAGCAAATAAAATGGGTGCGAATGAAGTAATTATACATTGCTATTCCATTTCGAATGTAAGCTTTAAGGTATTTATGTATAAAAAATTATTTAATTTACTTTATTTAGATAATATTCCTGTCAAATTTGACATAATGTATAAAGTGAATCTAGTGACAGATGGGTAAATGCACAAATCTAATCTTATCTTATCACACAGTTCGAAAAATTGTGTTAAAAAAATGTGTCAAATTTGTTTTGCAAAAATTAACAATGATATTATGATTTTTTTCTAATTGTAAATTTTATTTTGCAAATTTCCAATAATGAAAAAAAAGTAATCAGCGCTGCCATCGGCATCTTATTTAAATCTACCTTAGTAATATATGGATCAACTACACATTATTTTCAATGCTCGCTCTTATTCAAGTTATTTCGTTAAAGAGAAGTAACTGGCTCAAGAAAAAGAAAAACATATCTAAAAAGCATTTTATTACGTCCAATAAGGTGGAAATTAACCTAATAAAGAAAACTTATTTCATTGTGGTGCGATATTTTACTGACAATGATGATAATCTTTATTGATAATATTGTTGATAATGATTGTATATTGAAGACGATTATAATGATAATAAGACATAATTTTCTTTCATTGAAGCCAGAATATGAAAAAGAGAATTTTTTTATATTTATTTCTTACTTTTTTTTGGTAGTCTCTTTTATGATCACGGCAGCTTCTTGCCATCATTATTTCTACATAAGTATCCGTATTATTATTCCAGAGATTAAACGAATATTTGAAAAGAGAAACGAAAGTTTTTCTTAAAATAATTTTCCTTTTTTTTTTGTTATTTATGAATATAAGAACTTTATTTCAAATAATAAATATGTATATGTAACTTAAGTGCATTATATAATTTTATTTTGTAGAAATTAAATCTGAAAATGAAATAAGGTCAACCTACATTGGGTCTTTAAATAACTTTTATAGTAATATGAAAAAATTTAGGTATAAATAAAAGTAAATGACTAACTGATGGTAGTTGATTTACAAAAATAACTGATTATTGCAAAGAAAACTAATGTGGGATAAGCAACAAAAAAATAGAAAAACTCAGAATCAAATTAACGTGGGCCTTTTAATTTTTTAATGTTCACATGAAAATTGAAGATTGTGAATTGTTTATCGCCTGAAGTCAAGCATTTATATAGACATGCATAATGTAAACTTAGCTTTATGATTCAAATGTACTTTTGATTAAACAATTTTAATTATTAAATTGAGCGGAAGACATTAGAAAAATGAAATTGAAATTGGGAGCATTAAGAAAAATTAAAAAAGTCGATTTTTATAAGTTAAGAATTTTATTTTATACCTTACCATAAAAATATTACAGAAAGCAAAATGGGAAATATATTTTAATTAATATTAAAATGGAATGGTCAATAATTCGAAATTTGTTTTATAATTCATTGTAACAAATAAGATATTTTGGCGCAAAAGCAACCTTTTAAAGTTGCTGAACAGTTTTAAAATGCTAAACAGTACTGTTATACTTGTATTAAGGCACATAACTTGGAAAGCACTATTAGATGAATTTACGTTGTTTTAAAATTTAAATTTGTCGATTGGAATAATTTGCAGTACAAATTGCTTTTGTTAAATGGAATAATCTTGGCTGACTCTACATACATATACATACATATATGTATATATGTATAATATTTAACATGAAGTGTTATGGAATATTTAGAGCTCAAGTTAATCGAATTTTTTTAAGGAATAAGATTAATTATTACACAAGGAGTAAAATATTTTATATACAAATAGAGACTAGCTGATGTACATATGTACATATTATATGGAACTTACCTGTTTATGTATCTGTGAAAGTGTGGAGCGGCTGGAATCCAGAATCCAGATGGCTGTTTGAACTTATTTATATATAAATGCACGTTTGTACAGATACCATTTGACGTGCTGAGAATTATCAAAATTTTGTGAAATAATAATTTGGAAACTAGTGCTGGTAAGTTTGAGAAAATAACTTTTTATATTGAAATTAATTTCCATTATATTTTAAGTTTTTTGTTTAAATTAGCTAACTATTTGAAACTTCAAAAATACAAGCAACCCAATAAATATGCTTACTGAATTTGCAGGGCCGTTACTATTCTTATAAATTACATAAGATAGATAAGTAAATGTGTCCATATATATTATGTAACTTATATACAATTTTACCTACATAGGTAGGTAGATGCCTTTCAATTTTACCTACATAGGTAGGGTATGATATCTTTGAACACTTGTATCAAGTTTCACTTAATATATTTTATCTTATATCTACGAGTATAATAAATTATAACATGTGTAGGGTATAAAAAATAAATAATATATTGATGGTACAAAAATGTAGGAAATATAGAAATATGATAATTTCAACATAAAATTCTTTATCAGGCTTTCATTAGTTAAGTAATTGCAAAGAAGTTGGATAAAATTCATTTGATTTAATCTTATATTCTAACATTAGCATAAAATAACGTTTATAAATTTATTTATGTTCTCCGTATCTAAAAATGTTAATCTAGAATTCTATGACCATTATTATTTACATATAAGCAAATTGTAGTAAAAATCTAAAACTAATTAATATTGATTGGAGGACATTTTATTCTTTCATAAAATGATACAAGTACATAATAGTAGTGAATTAAGTTCTGTTTTTAATTTGAAAATTTAATTAATAAATTAAAATTTGCTAATTTTTTTTTTTGTAAATTTTCAATTCACAAACATCTAATTTGCATATACTTTGTTTATTTTTTTTATAAAAAATACAAGGTAAAAATAAATCCTAATCAAATATTTTTATTTTTAAAAAGATTTATTTACCTTGTTTGTTGATGCTACACTTGAATCGTAGAATCAACAACACAACGTTTTTCAAATTCGTTAAAAATTGGTATAGGCCTTTGTAATACGGTTAACAAAATGACATAATCAAGTAGTTTACACATATCATGCACTATAAAATTGTAAATTATGTACACACATATATGATTTAAATGGTCAAGATGATATCGCTTGAATTTTATGTTTATACAAGATGCATACAATGTGTCAAATTTAATAAAGTGTTCATCTATGTAAGAGTATAATTTATAAATTCAAAAAATAAAAAACAAGTTAATAACACTTCCTTCTTAGGATTTTCGCAATCATAACTTTTTTTTTCCATAAAATAATCCCTATAAATATTTTCACTTGACTAGTTGTATATGATAGGAATGTGCATGGATTAACTATATTATCATTAATTGCTTGATTACAGTCTATTATTAATTTGTAACTCTTGTTATTTTAATGAAGAGTTAAAAAAATATAAAAAGAAAAAAAAACTTGTTCACATAATTGATTTGACATGAATATTCATTATCAGTTTTAATGGCTTACTAACGTTAAGATCTGACAAACTGCGTTTATTTTATATTGATTGTTAACTTGCATTTTCTTAAAAGAAAATATTAATTCATAATGTATAGCATTTGATGTAATATAAGATACACATCTATATAAATAATTGTAATGTATGTAATATTGCATATTTTTAATAATATATAATTGTAGTTTTAAGAGTTGTTCAGACAACTTAATAAATTAATTATAGTGATCATGAAATCAAGTAATTTTAGAATTATTAAAGTGCCATCCTATGTTGTTAAAATGTACATAAAAGTTGTTGATAAAGCTTGTAAATTATAATTTGCAAAACGCGAAAAAGAAAATTGAAAATAAAAATTCAAATAGATAGTGGTGGTAACGAAATATATGCATGAACATATTATAATAGTTTTTATTATTAAAATATGTATATTATCAAATTCAAATAGAATATATAAATTTATTTTATTATCTCTCATAATTTTAAAGAGTTTCATAGCCTAAAATGATACAATGACTTCGTTGTGCATAAGAAATTTGAAATTTCAGATTCATAAACTTCATATGAACCGCGGTCAACTGATCGAAATCATTAAAGTTATGTATATTGAAAATAGTTTTTTTTTATTGGTCGTATGATGAAGAAATTCTGATAAATAAGATTTGTAATTTAGATTTCTTTAAA